TCTCGAACCCGCAGGCTCAGGCAATTCACTCACCTTGGCCTCCCAAAGCACAGGATTACAGGCTGAGCCACCGAGCCCGGCGGAATATTTTAAATAACACCAAAAGTTTGGGAATCTTTGGCAAAGCAAGACGTCTTGAATGAACTCTGGCCCATGGCCCCACCTAGGAATCTGGCCTACAGCCCTGTAAGTTTACCCAGGAGGGAGAAGCACAGGCCCACTCAAAGTCCCAAAGCAAGCCTCCAGCCCAACCAGAGACCCCATCCAGGACAGCAAGGTCAGGAAGGGATGCCCAACCCCCTCCAGGAACTCTAGCGAGAAGGACCAACTGGAAGGAGAGCCTAGCCAAGCACTCATTCTCCTATTTAAAATTCTTGGGGGGTCGGGTGTGGTTGTCATGCCTGTAATCCCAACACTTTGGAACGCCAAAGTGGGAGGATCACTTGAGCCCAGGAGTTCAAGACCAGCCTGGGCAACATAGCAAGATCTGTCTCTAAAAAAAAAAAAAAAAAAAATTGCCTGTAGTCCCAGCTACTTGGGAGGCTGAGGCGAAAGGAATATCTGAGTCCAGGAGGTCAAGGGTTGAGGCTGTGGTGTGATCATGCCACTGCACTCCAGCCTGCGCGAGAGTGAGACCCTGACTCAAAAAAAAAAAATCCTTCTTGGGTTCCCATCACTTTTAGGGTGCAGGTCAAACTCTACAGCCTGACACCCAGGCTTTGTCAAAGTCCTGCTTGCCATACCCATTCCTCCAGGAATGTCCTTCTGCACCCATCCCTCCAGCCTCAGGGCCCCAGAACAAGGTGCTTTGCACAGGCTCTGCCCCTCCATCTGGGAAACACACCACACAGCTGGAACCTGCCCTCAAAATTCAGCTCAGCTGTCACTGCCTCAGATGAACTGTCTGGTTATTTGTCTGTGCAGTGCCCCAGTAAGCCATGAACTCTCGAGAGCAGGGCTTGGTCTGGTTCTCGGTTACAGCCCCACACCCCATTCACCCCACAGTTCACTCACCTCTTCCCTCAGATCTCAGTTTAAAGGCCACTGTCTGATGTTTCCCCCATAGAAGCCGGGCTACCCTCTTAAACTCCCCCACGGCCCCCTGCGATCTACCCTACCCACCTTTGACTCATGCCTCTAAAAACTCCCCCAGGCCTAGCTCCCGGTCAGCCTGGCCCCACCATGGACACTCATATCAACCCCAGAGCCAAGTGCTGCCACATTGTAGGTGCTCAAGTGCCCAGTACTCACTGGGTGCTCAACAAATGTTCACCGAGCGAATGGATGAGAGGAAAGGTCTTTCCACACCAGTCTTAAAGACTGACAGGCTTCCCAGGAGAGCATTCCCAGCTGAGAGGCAGTGTATGCAAAGGCATGGGAAACTGCTGGACTCCTAGAATAGCAAAGGTTCCCCAGACACAGTCCCTGCCCCAGAGAGGGGCAACAGCTACTGCTGTGGTCTGGTGGGGTAGGAAGGAAGACTAGTGGCAGTATTCCCAAGAGGGCGAGTTCATCTCACTGAGGGAGAAATGAAGATGTCATGAAGGTGGGACTTACTAACAGAAGGGGAGATTTCAAGAGGGAGATGCCAAGGGAGGTCATGACAGATGGAAAGAACCGCACGCGCAAAGGTCCAGAGGCGGGAAAGCACATGGCTTCCTATTCAGTCAGGAGTGAGGGCTGTGCAGGAATTCACAGGCGAAGGAGGGAGAAGGGGCCAGGGCTGTTCATAAAGGGCCAGAGTTCCAGGCTAAGGTGCTTGGATGAAAGGCCCTGAGGGACCATGGGAGGTCCCAGAGCAAGGGAGGGTCATGGTCAAAGTTTTCAATGAACAGGTCATT